CATCTAGTAAATTTATACTGTATAAGTTTCTACAATTCTATGAATTCTAAAATAGTGATAGGTGATAATCAAACTATACTTAAACCCTTTTCCGAAGTAGGCATTAGAATGGAATCTTATACAATATCAATATATTGTTGCCAAATAGCCGGTTCCATAAGTAGCATAGTATGATTAAAGTTTAATGCCATATAAGCACTTTTAGGCTATGCTGATTTGCTTTTCGGATTAATAAAGCTTAAGAAAGTGTCAAATTTATTTCATAATTATACTCAATCAGCAATTTCTAGAAAAAATAGGATGTCTCATCTTAAAGGATCAAACCGAACAGACAACGAGAACCATGTAATTCGATCATCGAGAGACTCAGCTTCTTCATTGAAATTAGAACCATCAGCTCACTCAACAGCACTGGAACCACTAGCTCCCTCAATATTATTAGAACCAAAAGTTCCTTCAACAGCATTAGAACCACTAGAACCTTCAATACTAAAAACTAACTCGGCCAAAAAAAATAAAAGAAAGCAGTTACTATTAACCTTATTCATGATATTTGTTGATGTGGGTTTACTACTCATTATTTATTATATTCTGGTAAATTTTATACCCATTGTTTGGGCACTAGTTATATCAGGTATCCCACTGATAATTTCTGTTGTTTTTAATTTTATCCTTTACAAACATGTCAACACTGTGGGAATACTTTGTGTGACAGGTTTTATTGGTGGAGTTATATTGTCACTAATTCAAGATGATCCCAAGTTATTCCTATTACGAGATTCATTTATAAGTGGTATAATTGGTCTAGTATTTATTATCACTTTGATTCTGATAAAAGTTGGTTAATTTCAAATGAGACCTTTAATATATTATAATATTCAAAATCTGGGAATAGGTAATCTTAAGGGTTTAACGGAAGATGAACCTATTCCTGATCATTGGGAAAGGTATTGGAGAACTTACGCTGTGTTTAGATGGACATTTATTATTTTGACTGCTATTTGGGGATTTGGTTTACTTTTTGAAATTCCTTTCCGTGTTCTAATTATTTATAAAACAAGAACGACTAACGATGCAGTTTATATTGGAGCTATTTTTGGTTATAGTTGGTTGGGT